CCCCAGTGAGTTCCAAGCAAACACTCTCTGATTTATTGTTCGTGTATTTCGATCTCCTCCCAAAATATTGTGCATCATACTATAGAGCATTTTGCTGTTGTCATGCTCTAGCATGGTTCAAATTTATGAATTTTTATTATATAAAGTATAGTGTTTTGCAGAGTTTTCGAGCACTGACAAAAATGATAATCTCAGATGTGAAATTATTCATGATAATCTCACATGTAATAATTTATCGCCTTTTCAATTATCGCTTTTCTGTAAACATTATCGCTTTTCATTTAAGACTGTCCTTTATATAATAAACAGAAAAATACATGGGTGGTTGGAAATACCAGATTTATTTTTTGTGTTGAACATGACATTTCACTCGTTCGCTGCGCTCACTTGTTCGCTGCACACTCATGTTCAACACTCGAAATAAATCTGGTATTTCGTGCACCCATGTATTATTCTCTAATTTAAACTACAGCTAGAGTGGTTTAAATTATTATCAATTTATCAGTGATTGTAAAAGTTGGAGATAGAAGTGTTTTGTTTTATAAAATTATCAAGTTGTCGGTGATCGCAAAACCTCCAAATCCTTAATTTCAAATGTTAGAATGTTAGGGTTAGAATGTTAGGGTTTGTAATATATACATTTTAAGTGAGAATATATACATTTTAAGACCTAACCAGGACTTCAATAATTTGGATTCTTGCACTTCACTTGGTGGACTTAATATTAGAATGTTAGGGTTTGTAATCCAAGTGAGAATATATACATTTTAAGACCTAACCAGGAACGACTGCGAAAAATGCAGCACAAGGTCCTTTGGTAGGAATTGAACCTACGGCCCTGCGATTCCGGTGCAGCGCTCTAACCAACTGAGCTACAGAGGCCAGCTGTTGAGCTTTAACCGTAAGTTCATGTATATTTAAGTAATCGGGTGTGCGGGTTATGATAAGGTGGACTTCAATAATTTGGATTCTTGCACTTCACTTAGTGGACTTAATATTATAATGTTAGGGTTTGTAATCCAAGTGAGAATATATACATTTTAAGACCTAACCAGGATCGACTGCGAAAAATGCAGCACAAGGTCCTCTGGTAGGAATTGAACCTACGGCCCTGCGATTCCGGTGCAGCGCTCTAACCAACTGAGCTACAGCTCGGCCAGCTGTTGAGCTTTAACCGTAAGTTCATGTATATTTAGGTAATCGGGTGTGCGGGTTATGATAAGGTGGACTTCAATAATTTGGATTCTTGCACTTCACTTGTTGGAATTAATATTAGAATGTTAGGGTTTGTAATCCAAGTGAGAATATATACATTTTAAGACCTAACAAGGAACGACTGCGAAAAATGCAGCACAAGGTCCTCTGGTAGGAATTGAACCTACGGCCCTGCGATTCCGGTGCAGCGCTCTAACCAACTGAGCTACAAGAGACCAGCTGTCGAGCTTTAACCGTAAGTTCATGTATATTTAGGTAATCGGGTGTGCGGGTTGTGATAAGGTGCCAGACTTCAATAATTTGGATTCTTGCACTTCACTTGGTGGAATTAAAATTAGAATGTTAGGGTTTGTAATCCAAGTGAGAATATATACATTTGCATATTCTCACTTGGATTACAAACTATTCTCATTTGGATTACAAAATATATACACCAAATATATACATGTACTATACCGGTACATTTGTATATTCTCACTTGGATTACAAAATATTCTCACTTGGATTACAAAATATATACATGTATATATTCTCACTTGGATTACAAACCCTAACATTCTAATATTAATTCCACAAGTGAAGTGCAAGAATCCAAATTATTAATTTCAAATGCCCCGCCGGGGCTAAGGTTCGAGTGGAAATGCCCAACCCCCGGGATGTGCTTTACAGGAAAATGGCTGGGCGAGGGGGATGGGCACACTTGGATTTGGCTGATGCATTAAAAGTCCTGTGCTTATTCCAGACTGCTTGTCAAATATTTACTTGCTAGAAGTAGAAATTTACTCTGACCACTGGATGAAGAAGACATTAAATAAGTACTGGTCAATAAACAGAAATGTATTTTATTTCATAGTATTACAATTTTATTTTTATACTATAAAAATAAAATATAGACATGCAGCATAGAATATGCAAATTCGAGGCAAAATTATTGTTGAATCGGTTTATTTATAGAATTTATAACAAATAACAACTATAAAAGTTTGTACCTTGTCTTCACATCGTAATAGCCAATCCTTTTAATTTTACATATTTTAGAATCAGTTCCTTTCCTGGTAACTGCATTTCTAAATTAAATCATCGTGAGTAGTGAGTGCTGAGCAGGCTGTTTTACTATAAACCAATTTTAGGAATTGTTAACAACTTTGAAAAATATATCGTTGCACATTCGGTCACAGTCGGAAAAATGTTCATAGTATGTTGTACCGTCGTTTGCAACTAACGATGAACAGTCGCTCATAAAAACATTCGCGTGATTAGAATCTTCAATGTTTGTCAAGAACAACAACACTTAATTGTTGTTTCCCATGTGTGCAATAAAAATAAGTAACAAAACTTTGTCTGAACTTGTTGGGCTAGAGACCTACTGGAAACTTTTACAGGCTTTTTAATGAGAATAGAGAATGTTTTATCTGCAACTGTTCACCCTTAGTTGCCACCGACGGTATTTGATAACTGATATAAATAAAATACAGTCTGGTTATACTGACTTGAGCGTGTCATGACAAACTCTTTATTGGAAAATTGTGAAGAAATAGTCGAATATAGAGGGTCGAATATCATACTTAAACTTGTATAGCTACAGTATCATTGGTACATAGCGTTGTGAATACAAGCTTTTGCTTTAATACCTTTCGCTTCAGCAGTCTTTTTTTTCCATGCTTCTCTACGCTTTCCCAGGCGAGCTTCTCTTTCCTCAGCAGTCTCCTCGAGCAAACGTTGTCGTCTTCGCTGGCTCCCTCCTTTTCGCGAGACCTTCGGCTTTCTTGTCGTTTCCTTGCCGCTCTTCATTTGGCTCCATACAGTAGTCCATATCTTTTCAATTGGTATTTGATACCATAATTGTTTTATTAAACTCTTTATAGAGCAAATTGCTTTGAAAGCTGTCAAAGTTTTTTGCAAACGTACAAAATACTGCAGTGCATGCAAAAAGCAAATTATTTTCATGAAGTATCTGTCAGTTGAAGTCGTCAGTTCATCTCACAACAACAAATTTTAAATTTGACCAATCAGTGTTCGCTATTCACGACAGTCCGCTATATTTTGAGATCAGTGAGGATGACCACCCATGAACGGTGAACCATGCGCCCGCGATATTTTATGAACTTTAGACTCCGCTAATGCTTTCGTTTCCCCGGGTGTAAATAGCCGGGGGGAATTAGTACCCTCGCACGGCGCTTCGCGCCGCCGGCTCGGGGATGACTGAAAATTGCAAATTTCGCAGGGCTATATTTTCCGCATTTTACAACTTTTCGTAACGAAACTTTGGAATATTACAAATTTTGTGATATCAAAGATGTTGTCTGCCGCGGCTGGGTCTCGAACTCGCGACCTTCGAATTACTAGATCGACGCTCTACCTACTGAGCTACACGATAAGACGGATTTAAGACTGGAAATTATGAAATATATACTGAATGTCATAAACATACTCGTTTACATTATTTCAGCATCGAACAATACTAGTTCTGCAAGTGTTATGTTAGTTGTGTAATTGTACACTCTGTAATATGTTAAGATGAAAATGTTCTAGAGTGTGTATTATATAATTTCCATACCCAGCGCAAGCAGAAAGATGTTGTCTGCCGCGGCTGGGTCTCGAACCCGCGACCTTCGAATTACTAGATCGACAATTACACAACTAACATAACACTTGCAGAACTAGTATTGTTCGATGCTGAATTAATATAAACGAGTATGTTTATGACATTCAGTATATATTTCATAATTTCCAGTCTTGAATCCATCTGACTGTGCAGCTCAGTAGGTAGAGCGTCGATCTAGTAATTCGAAGGTTGCGGGTTCGAGACCCAGCCGCGGCAGACAACATCTTTCTGCTTGCGCTGTGTATGGAAATTATATAATACACACTCTAGAACATTTTCATCTTAATATATATATATATATATATATATATATATATATATATATATATATATATATATATATATATATATATATATATATATATATATATATATATATATATATATATATATATATATATATATATATATATATATATATATATACAGGGTGTATAAAAAAAAACTGAACAGATTTAAAATTGCTCTCAATTTCGCAAAACACCTATTTGTATCTGTTTTTTTATATATATAGCTTCTTTGGGTACTTATAATGTAAAATAATGAAAAACATTTCTCGAACTCAAATTTTGTGAACCAAGTGGGTGTGTCTTTTCCAACAAACTAAAAATGGCTCGCGCACAAAATTTAAAAGCTGCAATCATATTTTGAGTTAACAGATGGAAACTTTGTCGGGATTTTAATTACTGTACAAAATGTCAGACAATTTGGTTTAGTTTAAGACCCTTAACGATTCACGCAAAGTTACAATTTTCCCAAAAAATCAGCTATTTGCATGCTTAATTAATGCATTTGCCTAATTTGCATATGTCAGCAATATGCAAATTAGGTAAAGGCATTAATTAAGCATGCGAAAGGCTGACTTTTTAGAATAAAATGAATAGTTAAAGGACTTAAACTAAACCAAATTGTCTGAAATTTTGTACAGTAATTAAAAACCCGACAAATTGTCAATCTATCAACTCAAAATATTATTACAGCTTTTAAATTTTGTGCGCGAGCCATTTTTAGTTTGTTGGAAAAGACACCCCCCCCCTGGTTCACAAAATTTGAGTTCGAGAAATTTTTTTCATTATTTTACATTATAAGTACCCAAAGAAGCTATATATATAAGAAAACAGATACAAATAGGTGTTTTGCGAAATTGAGAGCAATTTCAAATCTGTTCAGTTTTTTTTGATACACCCTGTATATATATACATATATATATATATATATATATATATATATATATATATATATATATATATATATATATATATATATATAAATCCATTTAAAAATCAGAGACTATATGCAACTTCGACCATCAATTTATTAAAAAAACTAAATTATACTAAAATAAAAGCTTAAAGGTTAAAAACGTTTCGGCAGTTCAGCCTTCATCAGTTTATATTTACAATTTAACAATGTCTAGCTTTTATAGCATTGGCAGGATCAAAATTACCATATTATGTAGTGAACAAATTAATGAGGAACTGCCGAAACGTTTTTAACTTTTAAGCTTTTATTTTAGTATGTTTTAGTTGTTTAATAAATTGATGGTCGAAGTTGCATAGTCTCTTATTTTTAAATGGATTTATATATATATATATATATATATATATATATATATATATATATATATATATATATATATATATATATATATATATATTTATGCCTTCCGTCTCAACGAATGATCTTAAACTATGTATTATACATGAAGACATTACTTCCCACACACGCATTATCGGCTTGGGTGTTGCATCTCCTGAGCTCCGTTTACTGGGCGGTGTACTGAATAGAACACTGTAAATAATTCACCTCGTTGTTGGGTTAATCTGGCTGGGGGTAAAGATTCCCCCAGCCGCTTTATTTTAACTTTCGAAATATAATACATAAGATATGTATCTACATTAAAATGTTCTGAAACCGTTTTGCCCAGTAAAGGTGAGGGCAAGATTACGCCAAAGCATCGAACAGGAGAAGATGCCGCCCCACCCCAGGCGAATGCAACACTCAAGTCTGTTACCATTGATGTAACCAAGCGCAAAGCGCTCTTGCTATAATCTACTTAGTCGTACTGATGCTAAACAAGTCAAAACCACAAATTTGGTTAAAGAACAGTCGCCCTTGCAAACTGTCTTCGTTATAGTAAGTTTTAAATATTGACTAGGTCGATTTATCAAATAGAGGTGAAATGATAAGATACAGGTAGTCGCCCTTGCTGACTGCCCTGTGCAAAAGCTAACATTAGAGAAACCTCGTAAAACGAACGTATAGTATAAGTTTTAACAGTCGCCCTTGCTAACTGTTAATGTTCATATATATAACGATAACAATTTGAACTACTTACAAATGCCAAGGTACCTGCATGACTGGTACCTGAAGGCTACTTATTTCAATACATTACAAGTGTTAATTAAGTGTTAATGCCTCAGTGACAACTGACAAAATGCAACCGCCCTTGCTAATCGCAAATGGTCACCTGATGACAGAAGCACTAACTGGATTATCATTGTTGCCTGACCACAAGACTTTCCCCCGCAAATCTTGCGGTCAGGCGCTAAGATTAATTTTGAATAAAACCTTTTGATCGGTAGGAAGAAATTAAGTGGAAATCGCTGGAACCCGAATGTACTTATGAAAAGCATTTGACTTCCATCGCCCCATTGTGCGAATTTGTGAATCGGACATCCCCCTTTCTACGGCCCATGTGCCGGCACCAATACGAAAACTGTGAGACTTGTAGCGAGACGAGTTAAGACCACACAAACGTATTGCTTCAGACAGCTGTTTAGCAAAAACCTCTCTAGCTACAGGCATGCCTTTCTGCGTTACAAATATTGGACCTGGTTGAATGCCTCGCAATGCTAGGTACTCAAGCAGTAGTGCGACAGGACAGCACGACGTTTGACGATAAACCAGTAACGTAAAAGGCCGTTGGTTATAATTGTGCTTGAAATCTAGAAAGGTTAATTTGATGCCAACCACTTTGTGGCTCGAGTCGTAAACATAGGAAATTTGATCCATTTGCAAAGGTTGACAACTTGCGTTGTTAGTTTGCTTAGTAATTTCGCCAATCCTTAAAAAGGCGAAGAATGCCAAAGAGCACATTGCTTTGAATTGACAAACCTGGTAGCACGAAGCAGTAATACCAGGAGCCGCAGCAAGCAAACTTTGTATAGTATTGGCAAAGTCACCGGCAAGCGACTGTCTAAACGTATGCCATTTTTTGCATAGCCTTTTAACATTTGAATGATGTAGAAAACTCGAGTTGGATCAGGTAAACTGGACAATTTGTGAGAATAACCAATGGCAGAAATGTAAGTGTTGACTGTAGAGGATGCATAATTGCGGTCAAATAAATACGCTATAAAAAGCGCCAATGTTGCGGGCGAAATAGGCATGCTAAAACGAGCTGTCTGAAAAATCGCAGTGTGGAATTGAGCAAATAGTTTCCATGCCCTAGTATAAGTAGGAATAGATGATTGCTGTAAACTTGATTTAGTCAAATGAGTGACTATATCCGCCAGTTTTGAGGCTGTAGATGAAAGGGGATGTCTGTGGGAAGACTGTTCATGTTGGCCGGTGCTAATTGTTGGAAGGCAGTCACCTGAAATCGAGATAAACAATCGGCTATAGTTTGTTATAAATACCAGGAATATGCTTAGCCTTAAACATTATGTTGTTTTGTAAACAAACCAAAACCATTTGACGAACAAAACACATTAATGTCTTATCCCGGCACGATTTTTTGTTGATGACATGAACCAGAGCTTCATTGTCAGTAAATAGTAAAATAGACCGATTGCGCATTTTGTGTCCCCATAAGCACAGGCTCAGAACAATTGGATAGAACTCTAGAAATGCGATATTACGGTGTAACCAATGTGCCGGCCATTTGCCATAACACCATTCGGTGCCAAATATGGCCCCGAAGCCAATCGAACCTGAAGCGTCTGTAAACAAATTAAGCTTGTTGGAATTGCACCAAGTTTCGTCCAGGAAAAATGAAATGCCATTGAAAGAAGATAAGAATGTTTGCCAAATTTTCAAATCCTCTTTGACCGCCTGACGTAAACGAATGAAATGTCGCGGGTTCTGAATGCCTTGTGTAAGGTCAATGAGACGCCGTAAAAATGTGCGACCTGGCACAATTACGGAACAAGCAAAATTTAACAAGCCGATCAAAGATTGAAGGTCTTTTAGGGTAACCTTTTTGTGGTTAAGAAAAGACTCGATAGTGTCGACACATTTTGCAAGTTTATCTGCTGGCAAGCGCGCTTGCGATTTTACAGAGTCTAACTCAATACCAGCAAATGTAAGAGTTGTTGCAGGCCCGCACGTTTTCTCTGGTGCAATAGGAATACCGAGTGTGGCGCATAAATTTAGAAATCTATCCAAATTGCTCCGGCATTGGGTATGAGTGGCAGCAATTAAAAGAAAATCATCTAAAAGATGGAGGAGTTTATCGATATTGAATTTATGTTGAGCAATCCATTCAACGGCTGTACTAAATATTTCAAAAGTTTTGCATGAACTGGAGCATCCCATTGGCATGCAACGGTCAAAATAATATAACCCCCGCCATTTCATTCCTAAAAGATGATAGTCTTCAGAATGTATTGGCATGATTCGAAAAGCGTTCTTGATGTCGGTTTTCGCTAAGAAACAACCCGGCCCAGCGCGTTTTATTAAACGTATTGCATCAGAAACAGTAGCATAATGTACGCTTGTATTTTCTGAAGGTATCCCATCATTAACCGATACACCTTTAGGGAAGGATAAATGATGGATTAAACGAAATTCGCCGGGTGTTTTCTTAGGGACCAGGCCAAGAGGCGAAACACAAAAGGAATTAAATGGCGGAGACGAAAAGGGGCCGGCTAACCTGTTGGCAGCCAATTCTTTTTCTAGTTTCATGTCCACAATTTTTGGATATTGTAAAGCCGAAGTTAAATTTTTTGACTCTATAGATTTGATTTCGCCCTGATAGTGCAGAGGAAACCCAAACGAAAAACCAGAAATTAAAGTATTTATAATCGATGGCGCGTAACCTGACAAAAGTTCAATTAGAGGCTGAATTTTTACTGGCGTTGGTAGTACTTGACTTGGCGGAGCGGTCGGTATTGGCGGGTGATTTTGCGTTAAAGCCACGAAAATTATTACCACACTGGCTGACACGGTGATTACCCTGGCATTTAAAACACGAGTGTTTAAATGCACATCCCGTACACGATTGACCACGGTGAAATTTAAAACAATAACCCCAAGGCACAGCAGTATTAGGTGACCGGGGCTTAGGAGCAAAATTATTCTGACCCACTTGGGGCCCTGATGACTTTCTAGTCATAGAATACTGTGAACGCAACCACAGTTCCCCGTGAATCGAGCCCCACGGAACAAGAGTACGTTGAGTTTGTCTTAAAAAACGAAAATTCTCGTCGTAAAAACGCCAATTCAGACCGCGAGCCGCCAAGTCCTGAATAGTTTGCCCATATTTCATTAAGGCGGGGGCCTCAACTGGGTATCTTTGAGTGTAAACGCCAACAAATATGTGAAAAGCCTGAAGCCAAGCTTCAATATTTAAGATTTTCTTTGGCTTGGCAGCAGGTTCCAGACAAAAAGAGGCAGGTAGACCACCGTTAGAACTCAAAAATGAAAGTTGATACTTATCATTGCCATTGGCGGAATTGCTCAACAAGCTACCGAAATCGATAAACTCCTCGTCCCATATTTTACCCTTGAGTTTTGCCGAAACCCGCGAGTCAATAGCCAAACCGGCTGAGTGAAACAATTGAGCAGGTTCGACAGAACTCGCAGTACTAGGAGATATTATAGTAGGCAATAACTGTGGCTCACCCGAGATGCCAGCATGTGCCGCAGCTATTGCCCCCGTTACCAAATTATTGACTTCCGCTTCATTCGATGACGATGTCTGACTCGGTCTCGGTTCGGTAGCCATCACAGGTACAGCAGGTACTGCTGGAGTTGGCACTGGACTGGGAACTTGGGCTGGAAGAATCGTAGCCATTTGCCTGGTCACTTCAGCAGCCACGGTTGACACCAGAGTCTGAAGGATCTCGGGCGACAGAACATTCCCTGAGGACGGAGCAGAAGGAGTTGATGTTTGTGGTGTGGCCACTGGCGGTAAATCAACTGCTGGGGCAGCATTCTGTGTCGCTCTGGTGGCGTTGATGTTTGAAGCGCGACGACTACGACGCGAAGACGGACCACCCGTTGTTGTTGCCGCTCTTTTGCGTTGTTGCTTACGTGGTGGCATACTGTAACAAGAAAACTTGCCAAACAGTATAAAATACAATAATATATATGGAACAAAATATTATCAATTTATGTACAACTTCTGTATAAATACTATCATCGTTGGGCCGTATGAAAAACGATGATAATTAAAAAATTTTCGCAGGGCAAGTATGGCAGACATTTTCGAGTCGCCGCATATTACAAGCCCTGGATGACCAAATAACTTAAACTGCAAATAATCTCCAAAAACATGGAGGACATCCCCAAAAACATGGGGTACAATTAATTAAATAAATCTCCAAAAACATGGAGAACATCCCCAAAAACATGGGGTACAAGTATATAAAGAAATCTCCAAAAACATGGAGAACATCCCCAAAAACATGGGGTACAATTAATCAAATAAATCTCCAAAAACATGGAGAACATCCCCAAAAACATGGGGTACAAGTAGATAAATAAATCTTCAAAAACATGGAGAACATCCCCAAAAACATGGGGTACAAGTAGATAAATAAATCTCCAAAAACATGGAGAACATCCCCAAAAACATGGGGTACAATTAATTAAATAAATCTCCAAAAACATGGAGAACATCCCCCAAAACATGGGGTACAAGGATATAAATAAATCTCCAAAAGCGTGGAGAACATCCCCATAAACATGGGGTACAACTAAATAAATAAATCTCCAAAAACATGGAGAACTCCCCCAAAACATGGGGTACAAGTACATAGATTAATCTCCAAAAGATGGAGAACATGCCCAAAAAAAAAACATGGGGTACAAATATATAAATAAATCTCCAAACATATGGAGAATATTCCCAAAGCATTGGGCCCAAGTCAATAAATAAAAATCCAATGGGACAGAAGGCAATGCATGGTCAGTGTTGCGCTAACTTGAGACTGACAAAATATATCACACAAGCGCAACGTAACTGTTCATAAAACGCAGTGCCACTAATAATGTGAAATTAAAATACAGATCTTACCTGGAAAGAAGAATCAAATAACAGAGCAAAACTGCTCTTAAAAGTTTTTAATAGTCTTCAGTATAGGTGATGTTCCTTTGACGGTAAGCTGTATGTGAATGCTTAGAACTTAGCATAGGGATGTGTTATAACCCTTTCGTAATCGTTATCTATATATAAACGAGTCTGTTCAAGATATACCTAATACCTTTATAGGTATTTCCTCTCTCTGTCAGCTTAATATATAATACACCACGGCTTATCAATTGTAATAACCGACTTATCTCCCCAAAGTCTGAGACGGAAGGCATAAAATTCCTATTTGCTCGCAAATATTTTCT